AGTAAAATGTAATGAACAAGAGTTTTCATCTCAACTAGGGCTGGGTGATATGGACCAATAGTCATATCCCAATATATTTAGGCTGAATTTCGATATACAAAATATATCCCAATATTTTTTTCTGCAAAGTGAGAGCAAATGTTCAGTCAAAGAAAAATATGACATGTCACAAGTAGTTTTATTGAAACTTGAACATTTGCTAAATCAAATGAATAAATAATAAACAGGTTTCTTCACCTTAGGGCTGCATGATTAGCTATGACAAAAATCTTAATTGCAGATTATTAATTGGTTTATTTATTTTGTTAATACAACGTTGGTATGAGCCATTACAGTCATTTAAAAAAATATAAAAAATAACACAAAGAAAAATAGGGGCATTAAGGTTAATATAGAAACGACAGTTACCATGGTGAATAGTGAATACACAATACTAACAAGAACTATTTATGAAACATGGAAACTGCTCCTGGTGAATAAAATGAAAATCATAAATGCATTGCTTTTATTTCGTGTAATTTACATGCTCGTATAGTTTCTTTTGCACTTTATGTACAGTGAGGCGATCCAGCGCGCGTCGCCGCATTTGCGCGTGCAATTGAGTGTGCGCTACGACTAACGTTACAGTATAACGGCTGACAGGACAGAAAGTCCCTTTTGCTGAGGTAAAAGACTTTATTTCATAACATACATGCTTTAATCAAGCACGCAAAGTGGAAAAGGAGTGGCTGGGGCGCGGGGAGCAGTGCAGAGAGCTCGGGTTCAGCACTCAGCAGCTTGCTTGGAGCAAGGATCACAGCGCAAACCTGAACTAGCCTATATCGATATGCAATATCTAATTACATATCACATTTAAAAATATATATATTCTTTATATAGATATATCGCTCAGCCTTAATCTCAACATAATTTTTTTTTATTTTTTTTTTATCCGAGCACAGATATTGACTTGTATTACTCGTATAATATTTGTACTTGACAAAAGTGCTTTATCCGTACCGGATACTCGTTTCAGCCGAGTATTCGGCTCAACTCTATTATTTACTTCTAACTCTTTTGCTACATTATTTCCAATTCGACCAAAGTTTCCCCTTAATTTTCTTCCATTTTCTCAGCAATCCTGCAATACTTTCTAATCAAAATGCTTTCGTGGGATGCGAGTCATTTTGGCCATGGAATCCAGCCCAGTAATTAGCCATCAGTTGAATCCTTCTTAATTCCAGTGTCAGTTCTCCCATTTCCACTTGTATGGCAGGTGCTGAGGAAGTTTTAAAAGCACCACAGCAAATTCTTAAAACTTGATTCTGAATAACCTCCAACCTCATTAAAAGAGACCTAGTCGCAGACCCAACCACTATACTACCTTTTATACTTTTAAGGGATGAACGACTGGCTCCCCACTCTCTTCTCGTCAAACATCTAATCACTTTAATTACCTTTTTGCACTTGTCTTCCATTTTCTTTATATGTTCTGAAAATGCCAACCTTGCATCTAAAATCACTCCCAAAAACTTAATGGAACTTACCCTCTCTAACTCTCTCCTATACATCATTACCTTAATTTTTTCCTGAATTCTTTTCCTGGTATAAAAGACTGTCTGAGTCTTTTCTATTGAGAATTTAAATCCCCAGTCATAAGCCCAGCCTACCACTTTATCTATTGCTTTCTGTACCTTTTTGTGTACTCTATATTCCTTCCTCTTTTCCACACTGCCACATCATCTGCAAATGATGTTCCAATGTCTTCTGCAGTGTTGGTCAAGTTAAACCCTCCTGTTGGTCTGGCTAACCCTCTCCATGACCCTCTTCCTTGCCTCTTCTGCTTTGGCCCTGTCTGTCTCTAACTTCCTCATACTCTCATCACTCCCTTTGTTTTCCTCAGCTGCTTTTTTTTCTCTGTTATTTCTTCAATGAGTTCATGAAGCTCTGTTATTTCTGCTGATGTACCACTGCTCTTCTCGTCTTTGTTGTTTCTGGCCTATTTCGCCCTGAATCCAGTTGAATCTCTCCCTCACTGACCTCTGCATAACCCTAAATTTTAGATCTTGAGAGCAATTCAATGTGTCTGGAATTGTTGACCAGGCCTTGCCCTTTATCAATACTGCCCTTCTTTTACCTGTATGGTTCTGTGAGCAGGATTTCTCTACAGAGAAGTACATCATGTTGCTCTGTCCACTCCATAGGGGCTCTAATCAACAAGAAACATTAAGTAACTAGCTCATTTTTGAATAGTAAGTATAATTCACGGTCTTGATAGATAACTACTAATAATAACTAACCCATTAATCTATTTAATACTGTTAATCTGCTTTACCCAGTATGAAAAACATTTAAATAGCATAGTAATACATTTAAGATGGATTTTGAGAAGGATGTTTATGTAATACTTGCATTGTTCGCTTCACATCATCTCTAACTTTAATCTCAATGCTACCTGAGGTGTTGTTGCTAATAGGGCTGTTGGAACGAATTCCGAAATTCGAATATAATTCGAATATTTAAAAAACCAATACTATTCGAATGCTGAAGTTACTATTTGAATATTGCTTTTATATATATTTAAAATATATATATATATATACACTCACCGGCCACTTTATTAGGTACACCTGTCCAACTGCTCGTTAACACTTAATTTCTAAGCAGCCAATCACATGGCGGCAACTCAGTGCATTTAGGCATGTAGACATGAGGCGTTTCTCAATGTCAAGGAAGGATCCTCGGAAGCCGGAATTTCGAGGATGCTACGTCATCGACGTCCGTCGAAGGACTGTTCCAATGTCGAGGATCCTCAGAATTTCAACCAAGGACTGAGTCCTTCGTTCGGAAAATATCCCATACACAGGAAAGGATGCATATGTGTAGCCTTCGCGCTCTTAATTAAATCACCCACAATCCTATGCGCAGCTTTGCTATCTTGTTCAAAAAAATAAAAAAATGACGACCGTTAGCGGAGTCGGAGTGATAACGGCAATATGCTTTCAAATGTAAGCAAGTATAATTTAGCCATTTATTTAATGTTTGTTAAACTATTTGCATATCGGCTCAAATTTGCTTAGGGGATTTAAAGCTGTTCCCTTTTACTGGTGAATAACTTTTTAATTTTTACTTCATAGCCTTTTTTGTTGGTCACATATTTTACAATTGCATGTGTTTTAACAGCTAACTTAGATCATGTTGCTATGGAGGTAGTTCTGTTAACTCCGGTAATATAATCGTTTTTGAATGAATAAACTCCTTTTTAAATCAATATTTTGTGTCAAATTATTGATTTATTTGGTAGGTAGCCATGTTATAAGTGGGAAAATGTATAGCGAGGCGGTTGTTACAGCGAATACAACCGGCTGATCAAGACCCCTCTGCTTTAGAGTTTGCGGGGTTGTATTCACTATAACAACCGCCTGGTTATACATTATCCCTTTATTTATTTATTTCTATGAGGACTGACAAGACAAAATAAGGACTGTCAAGTGTATTTAAACAGTGCAGTGCAGTACACCAGCTCAATGATTTTTGCAGCGCCGAAGCGGACCTTTCACTGATGTAATGACGCAATGACGTGCACTTGCTAGCCTGTTCCATTTACATGTTCTCCGAACGCTAAAGAGGACCCTTGCCTAGCCTCTGAAGGAAATGACTTGGAAGGACCCGTCCTGCCAAGGAAGTATCCTTGACATTGAGAAACACCTATGGTCAAGACAATCTCCTGCAGTTCAAACCGAGCATCAGTATGGGGAAGAAAGATGATTTGAGTGACTTTGAATGTGGCATGATTGTTGGTGCCAGAAGGGCTGGTCTGAGTATTTCAGAAACTGCTAATCTACTGGGATTTTCACGCACAACCATCTCTAGGGTTTACAGAGAATGGTCCGAAAAAGAAAAAACATCCAGTGAGCGGCAGTTCTGTGGGCGGAAATGCCTTATTGATGCCAGAGGTCAGAGGAGAATGGCCAGACTGGTTCGAGCTGATAGAAGGGCAACAGTGACTCAAATAACCACCCGTTACAACCAAGGTGGGCAGAAGAGCATCTCTGAACGCACAGTACGTCGAACTTTGAGGCAGATGGGCTACAGCAGCAGAAGACCACACCGGGTGCCACTCCTTTCAGCTAAGAACAGGAAACTGAGGCTACAATTTGCACAAGCTCATCGAAATTGGACAATAGAAGATTGGAAAAACGTTGCCTGGTCTGATGAGTCTCGATTTCTGCTGCGACATTCGGATGGTAGGGTCAGAATTTGGCGTCTACAACATGAAAGCATGGATCCATCCTGCCAAAAGGTCACGGGCGACGTAGCTGGAAGTACAGAATCAAAATCGTCCGACATCGTTGTTTTTCCTTTTAATTCCTTTTTTTGTAAACGGCGTTTGAGTTAGTTTGCACGTTCAACCTATGCGTTCAACTTGTAAACACTGACTCTGTACTTTCAGCTACGTCGCCCGTGACCTTTTGAACATAATTACGTAATACGTGACGTTGCAAACGCGCCTCACTGAATAGAGCAAGGCTAGCATTTGTCCTTAGAAAAGTTACATTTTTGGAATAAGTTTTGAAATAACCGATCGTTTCGCATGATAAGACCCTTATTCATCGTCTGATATCGTTTAAAGACATTTGAAGCTGCATCTGAAACAGTTATTAACTGTCTTTTGGACCTTGAACCATCCGGTTCCCATTGAAGTCCATTATATGGAGAAAAATCCTGGAATGTTTTCATCAAAAACCTACATTTCTTTTCGACTGAGGAAAGAAAGACATGGACATCTTGGATGACATGGGGGTGAGTAAATTATCAGCAAAAGTTTTTTTCAAAAGTGAACTAATCCTTTAATGGGCTTTATGCACAGCTGCACTACTTCCTGAACTTCAGCCAGCTCCTTGTTTCCTGTCTGCCATTATTGGGCAAAATTGATTAATTCAGGTGTGTCTGATTATTGTTGCCATGACTACTGAGGTCAAGCACACCTGAATTAATCAATGTGTCCAATAATGGCAGAGAGGAAACAAGGAGCTGGCTGAAATTCAGGAAGTAGTGAAGCTGTGCATAAAGCCAATTAACACAATTGACCTGAAAATGAGCTTTGCTCTTTATGACTATGTCTGACAATGCTTCTTTTTATGAGCCAAAAGATAAATGGATGTACTGAAATTCATCCCACATGAAGAGCAGTTGTATAGTTTCTCTCCAGCACGCACCCCTTGTGTTTGCGCTGAAGTCTCTGAAGCAGTGAAAAGCTTTCCACCAAGTGAAACCTTGTCCATGTTTTCTCCAGTAATGATTTGTTGGTGCCGTTTCAAGTAGCTTACTCTGGTACAGGCATTCAAACCGCTATGCATTTTCTGGTGCGATTTTAAATTGCAGAGCAGTTTAAAACTCTTTCCGCACAATGAACACAAATGGGGTCTCTCATCAGCATGAGTTTTCAGGTGTATCTCTAAGTGAGATGGCAAAGGGAATTTCTTACTACAATGATCGCAATTAAAAACCCTCTCTCCAAAGTGAATGCGGAAGTGATTTATGAAGTTGATCCTCTCCGAAAAACTCTTTCCACACTCAGAGCATTGCAATTTCTCACTGGAATGAATCTGCAAATGACTGTTCAGGTTTCTTTGATAAGTGAAGCTCTTTCCACACTGGGAACACGTGTAAGGTCTCTCTCCAGTGTGAAGTCTAATGTGACCCTTAAGATTTCCTTTGAGTGTGAAACCCTTTCCACAATGAGGGCAAATGAAAGGCCGCTCTCCGGTGTGAAGCCGTACGTGAACTTTAAGGTTTACTTTGTGTGCGTAAGTCTTTCCACAGTATTGGCACATGTAAGGCTTCTCTCCAGTGTGGATTTTCATGTGACTCTTAAGGTTTTTATTTAATCGAAACCTCCTTCCACACTGAGGGCATTTGAAAGGCTTTTGTCCGGTGTGTGTTGTCAGGTGCCTGTTAAGGTGATCCATGTCTGTAAAACTCATTCCACACTGATGACATATGAAACAGTTCTTCCTTGTGTGAAGCTTCATGTGGCCATTAAGGGTTACTTTTTGTGAGAATCTCTTTCCACACTGATAACAAGTGAATGGCTTTTCTCCGGTGTGAGTTCTCATGTGGTGCCTAACGTTCCCTTTGTGTGTGAAGCTCTTCCCACACAGTTTGCAGTAGAAAGGGCTCTCGCCAGTGTGAATTCTCATGTGGCTATTAAGGTTTCCTTTTTGAGTGAAACTTTTTCCACACTGTTGGCAGGTGAAGGGACTCTCGCCAGTGTGGATTCTCAGGTGGATTTTAAGGTTTCCTTTTTGGTTGAAACTCTTCCCACACTGTTGGCAGGTGAAGGGACTCTCTCCAGAATGAATTCTTACGTGACTATGAAGGTGTCCTTTACGCGTGAAACTCTTTCCACATTGACAAGTGAATGATCGTGTTTTCCGAGTTCTTTTTTGAGAGGAATTATTTTCAGTCTCTGCACAACTAAATGATTTTTCTCCACTTGTGAAATCATGGTTTGTCTCCTCCTCTTCATTAAGTTCTTGACCTTCCTCTTTAAGCAGCATCGAGTCTAAAATTAACATAATAAATGGTCAAATCAATTCAAGATTAAGTTGAAACAAAAAAGGGAGGTGATCACCAGTTTAATGGCACAAAGTAGCAGAAATCAAATAACTAAAGACAATAGGGGTGTAACGGTACACAAAAATCACGGTTCGGTACGTTTTCGATACAGCAAAAAGAAAGAAATGCCAGAGAAATTTCCTATTTGTTTAAAGAAAAAATTATTTTAAATAAATGTGAGTTTTCCTAGATCTTGAAACTTTCAGGTTTATAAATGGGGGTCATCTTTGAAGGATGAACAAATAATGTTTTGGTCATCACATTAAAAATAACTTTTAAATATATATTTATTTATATAATATTTGAATTTTGAAGTGCTGGAAAAAGATGTGTGAAGTACTTGAAAGCATTTCACCATTCCAGCCAAACTGGTTCCAGTTAGTGTTACTATATTAAACCCATGGTGAATGTTGCTGGTCTGTGGACGTAAAGTATTACTAGTTCATTCACGGCACAATGTGTTTCTCCTGGTTTCCATGACAGCGCTGTTTGATCTAATAGAGATCTACGGTTAATAACGGAGAAATGTGAATGCATCTCACTAGATCTTGCAGCGATGTTATTACCTCAGTGGCGAATTCAAATGTTTTCTTAACCAGATCTCTTAGCGCTGTGTGTTAACAGTGTTGCGTGATCGAGATCGGCTCACGCTGCACACAACATGACATCATGACTTTTTTCGTAAACATACACGCCACTTTCGAGTCAGGTGGCGTGTTATCTCTACGCATTTTGATCTATCCGCGTGTATGTCTACACCATTAACGTCCGCGTCATTCCGCGTGTCTGTACACGCAGTCAAATCTCCAGTCATAAATGCCATTAACCCCAGTGACGGTTAGGTTTAGGGACGGGGTTGAGGTAAGTCATATATTTATATAACGTTAAGTCAGCGGCGTTCATAAACACGCTGAAAGGCGATTATGCGTCTTGATAGCACGCCAAAAATGGAAATACGAATTGGCGTGGCATACACACGCTACTTCATGAGATCAGTCTGCTGCACAGATGTTGCTGGTCTGAACTGATAAACGATCCGTGAAGCACATAACGAGTATCGCAGTTTCGTTCTGCTTTCATTACGCTTGCCATTTGATGTTGCGCAACGTTGTGTTCGCCGCGTCAGCACGAATTTTGCCGGCAGGAAAAATGGTCCAAGCAATCGTTCGGTTTGTATGCGTACCGAACCGGAAGCCTCGAACCGAAACGGTTCAATACGAATACATGTACCATTACACCCCTACAAGACAAGGATCCCGATTTACTAACAGCTTGCATTAAGTAGCACAAATAGAGATGGACCGGCCGATTTTCACCTGATTGGTCATGACATGACAGTCTGACATATGCTGATTTTATGCAAATGCATAAATGCATGAGTCAAATGCACTCGTGCACCGCATGATTAACGTCATGCAACATCAGTATCACACGTGCACACGGAACACACATGTAGGAAAATCAAATCGAATTGAGAGCTTGCGAATCGATATCGTATCGAATTTGAACATCTGAATAGATACCCAGCCTTGACAAACAGATATCTATGTTGTTTAGTTGCAGAAATTGGTTTGAATTGAGCCTATACAATACATTTTGAATATAAGCCTCAGTTATATTGTAGGGTGACCATATTTTGATTACCAAAAACCAGGACACTCGGCCCGGCAAACAGATGGGCCTACTCAAATGATACTCAAAGTTTACTCAAAGATACCTTATTAATTTCAATACAGTTAAAGTAGGTTATGCCTATTGTTATGTTATATTGTTATAAGAAAACAGGACAGTTGGTCACCCTATTGTATTGCACTATATAATTCAATGTTTACCACACAACATCTTGGAAATAAGGCAGTTAGTGACTACGCTTACAAGCAGCCAATAACCCATTCAAAACCGGAATATTAGCAATAACCCGGTATCACACAGCCATGAATACACTGGCAAATCAGAATTTGCTTATATTCCAGTTTTTAAAAACCCGAATATGATCCCTGGGTTAACCCTTTTCTTACCCGAATATTTGTTCATGTAAACGCGTATCGGCCTATCCCCATCAAAAGGAACATTGATTTGTGTTCTGCGCATGTTTTATTCACAAGGAATCTTGGTCTTTTGAATAGAGGAACTTTTCGTATGCACCGTCTGGTGACGCAGCACAGCACCATACTCTTGGACCAGTACCAAAGTACCAGCACCAAAGCGCAAACAAAGGCGATCGCTATCTGCCCCTAACAATTGATTATCCGCGTGTTCCTGCTGTTGTCTTTAGATACAGGAAGAAGAATCGGAAATGACACATATTGCGTCTTAAGGTTGTCTGTACATACAAACACTAACCGTGCGTCACCGTTTACATTGGGATATTGCCAGTTGTTTACAAATTACATGTATACAGGAATAACTCTTTACTCATGCATGTAAACGGGTTATTCCGAATGTTTCGGAAACCCAAATAGTGACCTTAACCCGACTGAATATTGACAGCTTGTAAATTTAGTCAGTGTTATTTGTTTGTATAAGTTCTAATGTATATTATTTACTGATTTAGCGACATCTATTTCAGACTCAAGACAATGCAAATTCAATGGCGTTTTACTAGACATACAGTTTCCATATGAGTAAAATGTTATGTCGTTGAATTAATTTTTAGTTTAACCATTGTTTAAATCATTAACTGCTTCGAAATAGATTCTGTAAATGAAATCAATGTTTCAATGTAGAAATTGCATACTAATTTGCATACTATCCGTCCTAAATAGTTTTCGAAAATAGAATAAATGTTTTCAAATCGTAGCATTATATAGTATTCCAAAGTTACCTGGATGGTCTACTTTTTCCAATTAGTGCAGTGCCATCTAATGGCTAATATTACCCACAACCCATTGCTCTATTAAGATAAAGGGTTTGAGTGATTACTGATTAATAATCAGTCGCCTATCTAACCTGACAAAAAAATATATTTATTAAATGTTATCCACATCATATTTAACTAAAAAAGCATTGTGAACTTTTCGTTCAACGTGAAGATTAATTTTGTTCAACACAAAACGATTCGTTTGCGCACTTTGCAGAATTACGGTTTTTGTCAAACTGTGACCCCTAGAGTTGCTGTGGAGTACTTGTACACTCGTAAATAGCATTCAAGCAGAGATGTCTCTAAACTCACGGCCTGATCCCCTCCCCCTGTGTACCAGTACCTGTTCAGGAGGATGGAAGCTGTAACAAGTGGAAATAAGGTGTGGCCCCTTTAAGAGCTGCGCCCTGTTGAACTGTCGGCAGTCTGTATTGTATGCGCCTCGAACACCACATGTATACGGTGCCGGGTTATTTCTGTTTGATGTTTATTTTAGCAGATCTTTCTTGCCGTAAAGCAATTCGTTACATCACAAGACACTTCCTGATGCTGCGGCCTGCCGGCTCAAAGTTGCAAGTGTGTTTTTTCCGCTCACAGGCGAGACGCCCAACATTCAACCCGAAAATATAACCATTGCAATAACTCCGAAGCTATTCAGTTAAGGTAAAAAAAAAAAAAAAAAAACTGCATAGAGCTGCTTTAAATACATCATTATGTAAACATGAGGAGAGTTCTCTGAATGAAAGACCCATGACTGACAGCTCAATGTGCGACTACATTTCTCTCTGAAATGGAATTAAATGTAATTGAATGTGGAGGAAAGACGCAATTATGAATTTTATGCATGAATCTTTGAGTCTGAAAATAAAAGTAAACAAACTGAAAAAATAAACCAAAGGTCTTTTTTTAAAGGTAATATGCAATGTAAAAACGGATTTCATAAAATTGGTATAGAAAAAACTATCGTTCAGGAAAATGAATAGTTTTTGGGTCTTTTCATTTTTTACGTTCATTTGCCTTTTTAAGAAAGCATTTTACTTATTACTTTTGCTGCGTAGTTTTCAGTGCTTCGTCATAAGTACAAATACAACAGCTGTGTTTTATATACTATCCAGTGGTTGAAAAGAAAGGAGTAAACACGACCACTCGTAGGTTGTGACGGCTGTCAATCAAAATGTGGACCGGTGATTCGTTTCATATGTTCCCTGTTGGGAAACAAATGGATAATTCGGTAAATTAAACGTTTAATTTAACAGAATTTATCTGTTGTTGTTAAACCTGCTGTGGTTGTTTTAATTCACATCCTTTCTAAAAATATGAAAGGTTTTGGTTTTGTTTTTTAGTAGATTTTTTTCTGGAAGGGACTAAAGAACAAATCATTTTTTATCAGCTGAAAGGCAGAATATAAATGTTTTTATCAAGTTACATAGACATTATGTTTCATGGTATGTTTTAGTGTTGGTAACATGTCCCACATTTGGTTTGTTTAATGGTGGTCACCTTAGTACTAATGCTAGTAGTCTTGTTTATAACACAGAGCGTTCATCCTTTGCTGGGACGCTTAAAAAAATAAATATATATATATATATATATATATTGGGGACATAAATTAAGAGTACCCACTTCTCCAGGCACTGCAACATCTTATAGATGTAAAGATCTTAAAATAAAATTAATTTATCTAAAGGAAAAATTAAAGTGGAAACCAACCTATTTGGTCGTCAGTATCTTCATCTTTCACTCTGCATGGAATTCTTATGTCTTCACTCTCCTCTTTAAAAAACTCCATGTATGTCAAGTAGATCTTCGTTGTTTCACCTTAAGTGTTTTCTACTTGTTTTCACTCTTTGTCATGTTAAAGATGATGAGAATAATTAACTGGAAAACAACCCCCATGTCTTCTGTAACTCGTGTGGATGCGTTTCAAACATCACTTACACTCAATGTTGCACCACTGCTTTATTTTTTACTGTTGCAATACTTCGTAGAAAAAAAACAACAACTCTGAATCGTTTTAAACCCATTAAATTCGGGTTCAAAGCCACAAACTCTCCTCTACCAAATCACTGCAAACTCACCAAGCCTGATGTAGAATGACGTCACCGCACATACCAAAATAAAAGTCTCGTTCAAGATGTTTATCTACATTTTATTATAACCTTTATTTTACCAGGAAAAGAAGCACACTAAAATTAAGAATCTCTTTTACAAAACCGTCCTGGCCAAGACCGACAGACACAGCTCGTTTGATTTAACAAATATACACACAAGCAAACATATTTTAATAATGAAATATACGTCAATGAGGTGGAAATAAACTCCGCCTAAATGAGGCGCCACGCAGAATACTGCATTTAAGTATAATTAAAATGCGTGTTTGGCGTTAATAATTTGTCAAATTACATCATCATTTTTATTATTGTGCAATTGTTTTTCTATGCTTTATGCCGTGAATGGACCACTCCAGTGAATACATTATTGTTAAATAATTTTCATTCATTTACTCTTTATTTCAGACCTATGGGTCCATATCAAAACAAACAAAGTAGAACAAGAACAATCAAAACAAACAAAGTAGAACAAGAACAATACATAACAGACATCGATTTACAAACAACACACACGATTTATAACACAACACAAATAAGTATCACACGTGGTATAATGTTAAATAAGCATTTCACCTAATTAAAAAATGCTGGGACATATTTAAAGAAGACTCTTACTTTAGTGTTGTGGCGACATAATGTATGGGTGAAGCGAAGCTTTCAAAGCTTCGAATCAATTGATTCGCAAAACGATTCACTGTTTCGAAGCGTTGGTTCGAAACGTAACATGTGACCTCTGCTGGTCAAAACAGTGGAAATACAACATGCCAAACATGCATTAAAACACCTTTTACAAATACAATGCAAACGTTGTATTGAAAAAGTAAACCACAACGAAGCATATCACGTGACTTTGACAGTTAGATACACGCTCCGAACCACTGACTGAATCGAAACAAAGGATCCGTAAAGGTTTCGAAGCTTCATGAAGGAGTGTTTCGAAAAAGTGTCCATCACTACTGTAGATTTGCATTAGTCTTAAAATGGTGCGTTCGTGCATCTATCCAGGATGCTTCAGAAAACATAAAGTCTTAAGATTACGAGAGCCGTCTTCAACGGGAGATGGAAGATTAACATTTCACCAGTTCCCTGTAAATGATCCTGAGCGACTGAAGCTGTGGCTGCTCGCGGTTCGCTGGGATGTAAAAACACCCATGGAGAAAATCGAGAGATCCAGGCTGTGCAGTGAACATTTCTCCTCCGAAGATTACGAGACGGAGAAGGGGAAGCCAAGACGACTTCTGAAACCCTCAGCTGTGCCTGTGCTGTTTCAGCCAAACCAGGCGTGGAATATGGTATGTTATGTGAATGGTTTAATAATGCAACTGTTGTTGAATGTTGTAATTGTTATTATGAATTCTCTATCTATCTACATTTAATTTAACCTGCACTGCATTATTTATAAATGTGATGGTGATAGTTATAAATATTAAAAGACAGAGTACACGTGACATTTAATGTAAAATTTATTGCACTTAATTATATGACATTCAAAAAATATATTTTAATTTAAGGACATTTCTCGATATGAAAACCAATGAGACATTTAAGAAATATGTAGCTAAAATAATGATTTTAATAAACGTAACAGCAAAAAACTCTAAGTAAATGTGCCATTGCATAAGTCATCATTGAAAATCAGATTAATATGATTTATATTAAAAATATGTTTGCTTTGAAGATTGAGAAAAATAATAAAAAATACTTGTGAGCACTCATAATTTATGTTCTATAATTATAGATACAAAGCACACAGTAACTTCAACTTAAACATAACATCATAAATCTGGCCAAACATAAATCTGGCCAAATACAAACTGAATGTGGACAGCTCCGAAATAAATGATCAAATGTTTTAATATGTAAACCACAAAATGTACAAAATTGATCATTATCACAATTAAATCTAAAGATAATTATAACAAGGATAATATTTATAAATTTTAAAGGAACACTCCGACTTTTTGGGACTTTAGCCTATTCACCTTACCCCCCAGAGTTAGATAAGTCCATACATACCTTTTTCATCTCCGTGCGTGCTATAAGTCTGTTTGACGCACCCACCGCTAGCCTAGCTTAGCACAAAGACTCGATGTGAATGGTTGCAGCTTTCATACTAATCCAAATGAGTGGCAAAATAACGCAAACATTTTCCTATTTACATGTTGTGATTTGTATAGTCACATAATGTACAAATAACAAAGTCAAATGAGACACAGACATCTTTTAACCGTATAAAACCTGGGAACTATTCTCTGAAGGCGAAGCACTGCTACTTTGACGGAGTAATAACCGCATCACCTGAGACACGCCGTGGTGAGGAGCGGAGAGTTCGCTCAGTGTTTGGGTAACAGAGTCAGCAATTTATAAATAGTAAAAGCGTAGTTTAGAGTCATGGGTTTTCGCTCTATTGTAAATAGCTGCGACTGTAAACAGGGGAGGTAATACCATGTTTCACAGAATTCCAACTAAAAACGCTGACTGGATGAAGAAATGGCTAACTTACTCTGGATATTTATCCAAACACACCTAAGATTATCAAGGGACATTATGTTTGCTCGGTACATTTCAATGAGGACGACTATTTTGAAAAAATGGAATTTGCCACACAGACCATAATGTGCTGAAGGATACGGCCATCCCATCGATAGCACAGACAGGACAAGTGGATCACCTGCGGCTGAGGTAAGTGTTCCGTTATGTTTTTAGATGACCTACTGTAACAGTGCCATTAGCCAGATCTAATGTAACGTTAGTGACACTATTATATGTTTATTAGGGTATGAATATGTTTTTATCTTGATGCGGCGCGGACGCGCTTGGGAAAAAAAAAACGAGCGCGTTCACCGCGTTGAACTTGCACCCTGCGCGCGGCGCGCCTAGTAGCCTAAATTTGAAATAACCATGGAAATAACGAACTTGAGCGTGCAAAAGGGTACGATAGGCTGTGAGTTCATTGTGCAAAAACAATTTGTGCTATTACTTTCCCCTTATCCTATAGTAATGCAATACTGTATATTATATAGGCTACTGTTGAATACATTTGGTTCAGCTAATAAATTGCATTTAAAATATATTGATTCCTGTAATAATAATTATTTATTCATGTGATATTTATAAATCTGGGTGCGTTTTTGGTTGGAAATCAATGAAACATGGTACTGTATTACCTGGTCTCCCCTGTTTATTGTCACAGCTCATACAATAAAGCAAACACCCATGATAAACTATGCTTTTCTATCTAACGTTAGTAATTGCTGACTCTTTATTCCAACGCTGAGCGAAGCGAACTCTCTGCTCCTCGTCACGGTGCGTCTCAGGTGATTGTTATCACTCTGCCCAAGTAGCAGTGCTTCGCCTTCAGAAAATATAGTATTTATACGGTCAAAAGATGCCTGTGTCTCATATGGCCTTGATATTTGCACACTCTGTGACTATACAAACCACAACATGTAAATAGGAAACGTTTGCGTTATTTTGTCACTCATTTGGATTAGTATGAAAGCTGCAACCATTCACATCCAGTCTTTGTGCTAAGCTAGGCTAGCGGTGGGTGCGTCAAACAGACTTATAGCACGCACGGAGATGAAAAAGGTATGGACTTATCTAACTCTGGGGGGTAAGGTGAATAGGCTAAAGTCCCAAAAAGTCGGAGTGTTCCTTTAAGAGAAATTAATCGATACAGAAGCAGTTGTATTGATATTGAGCTGATACTCATATTGACAAGCGGTGTGTGACATAAACAGTGGTATTGAACACAGCCCCAGTGTAGTATGAATCTAATTCTGGACATACATTCATCATGTTGTCATTTTCATGTGATCTATCAGTGTCAGTTAAATGGATAGCTCACCCAAAAATGATTATCTTATTACTCACCCTCAAGCCACAGTCCTGAGTTATATTAAAAAAATATCTTCGCTCTTCCAAGCTTTATAATTTACATTTACATTTATTCATATTGCTATATTTGTCAGAGGTTGCACGCCTATGGAGCAACTAAGTGTCTGGCTCAGGGACACATTGGTGTCTCACACTGGATTTGAACCAGGGTCTTTCGCACCAAAGACACGCGACTTATCCACTGCGCCATCACCACCCTTAATGGGACTTAATGGTTCCTGAACTTCAGAAGGCCTTTATTAACCCTCTGGAGTTGAATGGATTACTTATATGATGGATGGACACATCAAAACCGAACGCATCATTCTCTCCCATTATAAAGTCTGAAAGAGCCATGTAAAGACTCTGGTCGGGTCTGATCAAAGGGGGAATTCGCATATCATAATTAATAATCGATAATTAATAATTATTCATACAGATTTGGATCAGACCGGTCTTACATATTAATAAATCTCCCATTTAGAGCGGCTTATTAATTTTACTCATATGCATACATGTGCATCCCCGCAACTAACCACAAATTAATTGTTATTAATTGCAAGGTCCACGTTTTACAAGACAGGCAAAATCAGAATTGAGAAGTTTTCTAAAGAAAATCAGAAAAAAAAGAATTTAGCTTTCCTGCTCTATAAACAAATACCCTTTTAGGTATGTTTAGTTCTGTAAAGCGTGTAGCTTGATCGACATTTTATTGACTCGTATTATGAGCAGACAGTAAATCAGTCAGAAATGACCATAATTGCATTTAATATATATGGCATTTACAACGTTACATGATACAGGTATTTACAAACATTAAAACACAAACTAAGACGACGCAGGGCGTTTAGACAATGGATACGCGTAAGTGAGTTGGAGGGAGAGAGAGAGTGAGTGAGATTGAGTTGGAGAGAAAGGGAGAGTTATATTCACCAAAACAGTCAGTTAACCTTTCTGAACACCAAGGAAACACAAGAAGGTATACTTGCAGAGCATATTTGGTCTGTGTGAGTCGCGAACTCGTTGCTCGGCCCGTTCAGGCAGCGTGTCGACTGGAGGTGCTGTCCTGTGTGCGTCACGTGGAGCGCGGCCGCAGCGTTTTTGCACGGCCCTTCCCGGCGCGTGCATAGTTGGTCGCTTGCGCGTGGCTCCTTTGTCACGTGGCATTCGTTGGCATTCAGCGCGAGTGTTTGAAAGGCTTAAAGTCTTTGAGGTGACGTTACCCGAGGATATAGTTCGGCAAAGTCCACTTCCTTTCCTGGGAGACGAACTTGGTAGTCCACTTGAGGAAAAGACAAAGCTTTTAGACGAACAAAAGAAAAGATCCATGGTCGGATCAGATCTCCGTGAGGAGATCTCGAGCATTACATGTTTCTCTGAGAAGGTCAGAAGAAGGCAGAGGCGGAGCCGGCGCGATACTTTTATCCCCTCGGCGAAATCCATCCCCTTCCTGTTGGCTTGAGCCAATCGGGGAGATAGACGTTGCACGCGGGACTCTTGGTTTATTGTCCTTTGTTCCAGAGCGTGCGCTCCTCGTGGAAGGGGGTGTGTTCAATGAGGGTTTTATAGTAAAACAACTTGATCTTCATTGGCAGTAAAACATTAAAAATACGCTTTACTTTACATTTCTATGCATATTCGGGTGTTTCATTCAATAAGCATTCTGGAGACATAAAGGAATATACACTTATGTTTACGATGCATGAAGAAGGTATTTCTAATTTCTATTTATGCCGCAACCAAACAAAGATATTTCACTGTGACATGGAAGAAAACACACATACATAGAAACCATTGAAAACATTTTGTTAAATGTCTTTAAAAAAGTCCTTCTCTTTGTTCAGAGACATTCCACACATTCCGATGTGTGGGGGAAGGGAAGGGCTTGTGTGTGTGTGTCCGTTTCGGAGGACTGTAGGTGGCAAATTGGCAAAGTCCTTATAGCCGGGATATGTTTTAATATAACTCCTATTTTGTTTGGCTGAAAGACGAAGGTCATACGCTCTTATAATGGCTTGAGGGTGAGTGAATATTGGGATAATCATTTTCATTTTTGGGAGAACTAACCCTTTAAGTCGCTTCACTGCAATAATTCATAAATCGTCTCCTGAGGCCTCATGGTATAGTAACGGTTCAAGAGTAGTGAGTGATTTACTTTGTCTTTTGTTGTTTGATTAACATTAATGACATACAGGGCATAATCTAGTCCTTTTTTTCCCTCTTTTTCTCATTATGGAATCAACTTCTGTTTCATGAAATAAATCACAATATTCCCATCATCCAACAGGTAAAAGGGTCATTTGGATTCAAACAATCAGGAAATACTCCTGTTGAAACATCAACTTCTTCAGGGAACAATACTGAAGAGATGGAGTTTATTAGAGAAGAGAATGAAGATATGAGTGATCCACAATCATGCAAAATAAAAAATGAAGATACTGAGGAACAAAGAGGTTTGTGTCCATTCCTGATTCTTCATTTTATGTGGAATAAAAAAGTAATAAAGCTTTATGCCTCAGTTTTCCAATCTGCACTGGAATTGCTTTTCATCTTCTGGTTTTACACTTCCTGGTGAACTTTGTCCCATACACATCTTTCGGTTTAGGCTGCTTAAAGGACAAAAAAAAAAGTTCTGATTATGTTTTTTGACTCATGTTTAAAGGCCTTTTCAAAGCTGATTGTATTGATAGACCCTTATTTAAAAAGGTATTTTATATTAGTTATATTTATATAAACATAAATAATGCACAAACAAATAATAAATTCATAAATGTCATTTTCAGAGAAAATGCTCTGCATTAAAACATGGTAAATGCAAACAGTAAACTCTGAAAACCTACAATGATTAAAGCTGCCGTCGGCAACATTTATTTTTTTTACATATTCATTGAAATCGATACTATAATCTGACAGAACATCATAAATAAAGTGGTTTTAGAAAAAAACCTAAGCTTCTAACTCCACCTGGAGCGTGTTATTTGTTTTGCAAAAATCCAGTGCTCCCGTTTCATCGGGTGCAATCAGTGCAGGGGGTGTGAGATCTGACTGTCAATCACAGATCGAGGGGCACACGCCATCCCTCGCGCATGTTACAATCACATGCACACGCCTGAAGTTCGCGCAGTAAGGAAGAGTGTTGGCGGAACACCAACAAACCAAGTAAGCTCATTTAGAGTATAAATGACGTTAGCAATTGCAATATATTGGTAGTTTTGCCAGGGCAGCATACCTCCAAATAATCCATGGTGTTGATGGATGCTGATGAGACGGTCACGTTCACAGATAACCTGGTGTGCACGCACTCGAGCACGAACTCTGTGGGAGGGTATTCGTTGATAGTGGGGGAGGGCCATATGAGTTTTAAACATTCAAAATTTTGCCAAAGTCCACTCAATCTGCCATACTTGCCGACTGCAGCTTTAAATCACTTTCCACGGTATTTACCTTTATAAACCAATTAATAAATTCTTATTTAGCTACCTGTTATGAAGCACCTTATCTTTAATTATTTTTTAATTAATTTAGAGAAGTGGAAATTGCTATGTTTAGTGTAGGGAAAAAATAAGGACCTGGCAACCCTGACTTGAACTACGGGTGATTCATAGGGTCAAAAAGCTTGCTTTAACGTTGCTATTTCTTTTGAACTGTTTATCCGATATGGTCACATTAAATCATCAAATTCATCAAAAAGGACATTTTCTTCACACACAGAATGAGTAGTAGTTTGACACATTTTCTGCCCTTTTGATTGACAGGATATAATCTTTACTCAAGTCAACTTGTCAACATTTATATAGTGGTTTTAACAATGTAGATTGTTCCAAAGCTACTTTTCATTGATAATAAGAAAGTAAAGTAACTTATATTGTTTTGGCTTCATGACTGCTCTAGAATAAAGCTATTTTCCAGCTAAAGTTAGGATCGTCGCAACGATCATTATTTATTAACTTAGGGGCCGCTAACACAGCCGTTTTAACACAAAACTCTCAAGTTGTCTCTACGCAAACTTTACAAACTCGAATCCGTGAGAACGCTGATGGCGTGAACATGCGTAATAAGAGTTCATTCTATAGGTATGCGCGTTTGAATGTATGTGCGCAGGCATGTAGTCCTTACCTAAAACACCAACCAACTTGTCTTGCCTTAAAATTTATAATACAGAATTGTATCGCCTTGGCGTAGCCACGTGAACCGGAATTATCCTGACTACGATTATCTGTACAGAGGTAATGGGAGGGAGGCCTTCACAAGGGAGAGACTAGTTGACACTTCAGGACTGCGTTGTCGTCGCGTCCAGACGCAGGTCCTTCATCAGATCTGGATACGGCCTGGATCCGGCAGACTGCGGTTAACCTCGGTATAAAGGAGACTAATATTAGCGTAGATGCCATTCTTCTTATGATGTAAAGAGTACATCAGGATTTATGGGAAGTGTTCCTAGTTCCGGCTGATCTAATTTTTGCAGCCTAACATTGAATTATAGAAGTCTATTGTCGGTTATGTGCATGCAAGGTCAAAGAGATGTGTTTTCAGTCTAGCTTTGAACTGACTGAGTGTGTCTGCTTAGGGATTGAGAATATTTTGGATCCCACGATTCGATTCTTGGAGACACGACTTGATTCAAAATAGATTCAAAATTGATTTTTAATCAAATTTCAATTTGATATATGCATAAATTTAAAATCGATTTAAATAGCTACTGTTAGCCCCAAGAAATTTAGTTTAGAGAAATTTAGCTTAAATTATAAACACCTCATAAGTGCGTTAATGTAATGTTCCCCGCTGCCGTTCAGTGCTTATGTTCACCTCTCACGGCGTGAGCTCATCATTACAATGACTGAGCATCAAGTCGACAGATGTCTAATTTACGACAGACGACTAATTTAAAAGCTGAGAATCTGTTTCATATAAAAAGTAACTAGTAATTATTGGATGGGAGGCATGCTACAAACTATGTTTGGGGAAGTTTTGTTCACGCATCAACTGTAAGCAGCATGGACTAAAATATTGATCTTGGAATTTAAGAATCAATGGGCTATGTGCATAACCGTAGTTTCGAACTTCCGCTTTTGTCAGAAGTCGGCGTATCAGTTTCCGGTCTACGACTGGTCATCCGCATCCACTAATAAACAAACAAGATGAGTGCTGCTGTTGTACGAAAAAAAGAGTTCTTAAACACATCTAAGTTTCTAAGAACTGTAGGTGGATCTAACGTCCGTTTCACACCCGTTTGCAGTGTGTGTTGCGGTGCAGGATCGTGCTGTTAGTGCGTTCACATATTATGATGCGTTTACCCAGTGAATAACTGATCCGCGGCTGTACAGCAAACACATACTTAATATTTTTATTTAAAGTCCAGAAGTTATGCTGCAACTTATTTTTAAAAACAAAAAGATGTGTCACCATTGCGAGCCTATATCGTTTAATCAAAATTGATCCAAATCATAAAATAGATTTTGTCAACCCAACCCACACATCTGTTTACCGGTTGTTTGCTTCTGCCTTTGTGCACGAAATATACCTTAACACAATCAAATGTGCCAATTGGGAAAGTGCTAATCAACAGCAGTTCTTGTTGATCAATTCATCATCAAGACAGCTAAAATCGCTCTGTGTATGAACTGTTTAACAAATGTGATGCGATCTGGGAAAACCCATCGGATGTCGCGCTTGTACATTTTCAGTAAAGTCTAAAAATAGATTGAATGTCAGTTTATTGTCAAATTTGGGTTTTCAATAAATAATAATTCTATAACATCTTGTTTATCATCTCTGAATATATTTTGGAGAAAATTCACAAGATTAGTGCAGAAAAATAGCGATTTATAGTGGCAAGATGAAAAGATGTGTCTTTCTCTTTAAGAACACACGCGGAGTGAGGTGCAAACCCCCCACCCCCCAAAAAAACAGCCATTTAGCTCTCCTTCTCTTAAAGGGTTAGTTCACCCAAAAATGAAAATTAAGTCATTAATTACTCACCCCCATGCTGTACCAACCCCGTAAGACATTCGTTCATCTTCGGAACACAAATAAAGATATTTTTGATTGAATCTGAGGGCTGGATCACTTTTCCATAGACAGCCTGAGGGACTGCCTCTTGACGGCCCAGAAAGTCATTAAAAGAAAAGGTTTAAATATTCCATGTGCCTACAGCGGCTCAATTACAAGTTTATCAAGTGACGAGAATACTTTTTGTGCGAAAAAACACACATAAATAACGACTTTATTCGACTATTCCATTACTTCCTCATGGGCGCATGCGCGAGAACTGAGACGAGACCGTTCTTCTTCGACTACTTTTTGTTACCGGCTGCTCACCGCTTAGGAGTTTTACCGCCCCCTACCGTATAAGATGACGTACTGCTTGTAAACAGAACGTTTTGCGCCTCCGGCTATATCAGTACGTCATCTTATACGGTAGGGGGCGGTAAAACTCCTAAGCGGTGAGCAGCCGGTAACAAAAAGTAGTCGAAGAAGAACGGTCTCGTCTCAGTTCTCGCGCATGCGCCCATGAGGAAGTAATGGAAAGTCGAATAAAGTCGTTATTTACGTTTTTTTTTCGCACAAAAAGTAGTCTCGTCGCTTGATAAAGTTATAGTTGAGCCACTGTAGGCACATGGAATATTTAAACCTTTTCTTTTAATGACTTTCTGGGCCGTCAAGAGGCAGTCCCTCAGGCTGTCTATGGAAAAGTGATCCAGCCCTCAGATTCAATCAAAAATATCTTTATTTGTGTTCCGAAGATGAACGAATGTCTTACGGGGTTGGTACAGCATGGGGGTGAGTAATTAATGACTTAATTTTCATTTTTGGGTGAACTAACCCTTTAACACTACAAAAGACATTTTCACCTATCAAAATAAACCACATAACAGAATAAAGGTCCCACCTGTCATGTATAAACTGCAATGGCACGCAAGTTTTTATTTATTCATTTTTATCCAGGGTTACCGTGTGGTGTGATGCGGAGCACAAGCGAATTTCAATTTTTACAGGATGCATTTTGAGTTTGTAAGCTTTCAAATGATACCTATGATGAAAACTAAAATATGTGATTTGAAAAAAAAGGCTAGCAGGACGTGACAGTTAATTAAACCTGTTTTTTTCAAAATTCCATTTCGGAAAATCACAGCGATCAGCCGACTTCAGATAACCATAACTTTAGTTACAGACAAACTATAAAATAAATAAAACAGATTTGGGCTGGAATCCAGCTTTAATATGATCGCAAACCCTGTAATATGTCAAATTTCACCATGTGGTGTGTTTTCCCAGATCACATCACAAATGTTTTTGTACTTTTTGATTAATATTTGACAATTACATGTTCATTTCAGAGGTGATAGAAGTGAAAGTGGAAGGTCAAGAACTGAATGATGTTGAGGAGAAACATCAGTATCATAGACCTCACAGTTTCAAACCTGGACTGATGGGAAAGTATTTGTCACAAACAAGAAAACCCAAAAATTATTTTACCTGCCCTCAATGTGGAAAGAGTTTCACACAAAAAAGTCACCTTATAGCTCACATAAGAATTCACACTGGAGAGAAGCCGTTTACCTGCCAGCATTGTGGAAAGAGTTTCACACAAAAAGGAAACCTTAAGGATCACGAGCGAATTCACACTGGAGAGAAGCCTTTCACATGCCATCAGTGTGGAATGAGTTTCACACATAAAAGAAGCCTTAATGACCACATAGGAATTCACACTGGAGAGAGTCCCTTCATATGCTCTCAGTGTGGAAATACTTTCACACATAAAGGTGACCTTAAGCGACACAGAAGAATTCATACTGGAGAGAGGCCTTTCAGTTGTCACCAGTGTCGAAAGAGTTTCACTCGTAAAGAACATCTTAAAACACACACAAGGATTCACACCAAAGAGAATCCTTACGTATGTTCTCAGTGTGGAAAGAGTTACAGACATCTAAGTAACGTTAGAAGACATATGACAATTCATTCAGAAATTACATTACACTAATCACAGTGTACTATAATAACAGACTGTATTAAAACTTTTATTAGCATTTATTATTGTTCTGCCATTTGACAAAATATATAAAAATATATATTTTGAAAAATTCTTTTGTCACCTGGTATTTTTATATGTGGTCTATTCTAAAGCATTTCAATTGAAACGGTTTGATGTACTGGTACAGTTTGTATATTGTGTATTATACCACTGTGCTGTTGAGTGCTTGATTCTGATTGGTTGACAAACGTTCTAAGGTGTGCAATTATTTTCAGGAAAACGCACGGCTTAAATGGTTTTAGCTGGTCTCGACCGCATAACAGTTCCATATCACTTTGCCAAATGATTTCAGTTATTTCAAAGGTCTTTACAGCAAACAGAACCTAAACCCACAATGATGCTAACCGAGCAAATAAATAAACTCTGGGCCGTTGAATTATTAGACAAATAATGCGCTTGGTTTCGTATTACCACCTCGTAGGGGTTTCATCAACTAGTAGTCGACTAGTCGACTGTCACAACCACTAGTTGGCGCTGTTGGCCTTAGTCGACTAGTCGGAAACAAAATGATGACATATAGATATATTTTTTTGTGAACTATCCCTTTAAGTACAAGCGGCAGTACTATATACTATAAGCGTTATACGGCGCACCTTCAATGACCTATTTTAGAACATTTTTCAAACGTTTGACTGGGTTTGCGTTATGCATCCACTGATGTGCTAAAGGGAACGCAGCGAGTGCACGGTGTCGGAGGTGAGGCGTTTATTTAGTAAGCGTGAGCGCGCTGGGGCGGGCACGTAACTTGCATTCGCAGCCTGACTCGCTGACAGCAGTGTCTGTTCGTGTGTGTGTGTTAAGAGTGAGCGCTCGTGAGGAGACACACATAACCTGATTTATACGAGTTTGAACTGGCCGTGTGACAAAGCGGGCAGAAGATGGACACGAGCGCGAGCATTGATCCATATATAATGCGCTCCGGATTATAAGGCTTGAGAAAAGGCCGGATTGAGGAAATTAAAGGCTTTTAAGTGTGCTTTATAGTGCGGAAAATACGAGTACTACTCTCGCTTTTAGACCAGCACACGACGTGTTTAATATAGACGCATATTACACCAGATTTTCTCTCAAATGTTTGCTTAGACACAGCCAATTCTGTTTATGTAAACATTGTATGTATTTAACAGTATTAGCATAATAAGACATGAAAGATAACCTAGTCCAGTATTCAGGCGCTGTTTGACAGGCTTCTAATGCCTGTGAGCGTCGGGGGTATGCCGCAGGCTCAGGAAAGTGCACGTTAGAACAGCGCGTGAATTAAATGTTTAACCGGCAAGGCTTATGCAGATAATGAACTTTTGTGAATTGCTGTGTTCCGTACCTATTCATTGACGTGAGGTTTGTAGGGTACGTCACGTTGTACAGTTGAGACAGAGGCGCCAGAACTGATAGAATACACTGTAACACGATACTACCATATTTTTTCAAAAGCAGATCGTGGAGACATTTACTATTCGTGATATCGCACACCCCTAGAATAAACCATTTAACGACTAGTCGACTAGTCGTCGACTGTTATGCAAAACTAGTCGACTAGCAAAAATCAGTAGTTGTGAAACCACTACCACCTCGTGCATTTTATTTTTCTAAAAAATCAACGACCCGTCATCAATTATTCCTTACTTCTTTTATGGTAAATAGTGTGTATATTATGTTTTCTTTTCTATACTGTGCCTAGCATTATGTGTATTGTGTATATATAGTATACAACATTGCACTGCAATTCGCACTTAAGCTATCACATATTTGTAATAAATTGATCAGATAATATAGAAGTGTATACTATAGATCTGCCTGCTTTCTGTTGGTGTAAAATCTTTCAAGTCTTGTATCTTTCAAGTGCATTTAAGAGGCTGTGGGTTTACACGTATGTACTACCTGCTGTATTTGGTTTTCCACCTATTGCCTTGTGATTTGGATTTGCTTGCCTGTTCAGATTGTTCTCTCTTATTTTTAAAATGTTTGTTCCTTCTAATAAACTCTGCACATGAATCCCCGTGTGTCTGCTTTGTCCTTCCAAATTATATTACATTTTTTCCAATCCATTTTGTTATTTTGACTTGGTAAAGGAGTTTAGGGCATTTAATATGCTTTCCGATAATTGAATATGAAATATGATTAACAAAAACACTTAGATCCACGCGTCCTTGTCTCCTCCTCCTGCAGCCGTAATAATAGTTTTGACCCAATAATGGATCTAGCGGTCTTGTGCCCCACATGCCTGCACAGAGTGATTGTTCCCTTGAGGAACACATTTGTGAATATTTACATCTGGTGAACTCAATGCACTTTGGTGACAATGCCCTAATTGCATTTGACTTAAAAAGCCTCTGAAGTAACTACTACCCAGGGATGATCCTTGATGCCTTTGCCAATTTCTGAATCGGTCTCTTCAACTGAGTGGATCCTCCTTCACTGTGTGAGAGGTAGAAAAGGACATCCACCTCAATGCTCCAGTATCCCCAGATGATCCCCCAGATAGAGCCCCATGTCTACACATGTGGCTGCCATGGATCATCAGTCAAAGGCATTGTCCGTCCCAGAGCCTACATCTACATGTTCCAGCATGGTCCTGTGGTTCTTTACCTTATATAGGGACTTCTGACTGGCTCTATGGTCCTCCGGCTCCACCTTGATCCTCCATCGTTTCACCAGCTTCAACTTGGATGCCTAGCATTTGGATTTGTCTTGGCTCCCTGATCCTTCCGCTCCACCAGGGTCCTCTAACTCCCTGGCTCTTCCTTGGTGTCTAGTTCCTCCAACTGCATTGTGGTCCCCAGCTCCACCTCTCCAACCGGGGTATCTCTGGGCCCGATACCGCTGCCATACCATGACCCTGGCCCATCTTGCCTCACCCTGTTGGCTACTATCATCTATGACTTCCATAACTTTTTCCTTTTGATAGGTGTTTCATGTTTCCTGTTCATAGTTACCAAGAATTTACATTTTGGAGTATTTCTATGACTCTTCATTTGTATTATGTTTCCTTGTTGTTAAATTTATATTTTCTGTGCTTAATTTCCAATTAATTATGGTTTCTATGTCTACATGTGTATCACCTGTTGATAACTTTGTCTCTTGAGTAGGTACTTATTTTGAATGGGTAATTACTTTATGACTGCTAAAAATACATTTAATATAGTATGAATTTGTTTAGTATGATTGTAATCCAGATGCACTATATTTGCAATGTTGTCATAATCATGTGATCTACCGGTGTGGCAACCTAACGTCAGTTGCGTTGCTTCGCTGCCATTCACAAATTCACTCCAATGGCCTAATTGGATAGTCTATCCACTCAAAAAAATTAATCGTTGGAAACTTATTATAATCATGACACCAATTTCCACGCATTTGAATGGTGTTCTCTCAACTTAATTTAGGCTAATGGAACCCAAGAGCAAAATTCATCTTGAACCAATGAGATCAAATAATTTTCATTTTTCTTTCATAACAACTCTCTGGAAATTGCTATGGTAATAGAGATTAGCATGGTAATGGATATGGCAATGTTAATGTATTTGGCATTGGCTGAATAGATCTGTGTCTGATGTGTGTCTGTGCAAAAAGTGCATCATGTGATCAACTGCTAAATTCAAAATGTGCTTAGGTTGGCACTGAGCCAGACACTCTCAGCACTTGTCATATATAAAAACTATTTAGCGTGTTCAATAACATATATAGGATTTGAGGGCGAATCAAACACAAATGAATCTTCCAGATGACTCGTTCAAGCATAATTTCACACAAAACTAAGGATTTAAAACAGACCTCCTTCTTGTTAAGGACCTCTGAACAACCCCAGGTTTGAAATGTCTTAAAACCTTATCAAATTACATAAATTTATCCCAAAACAATTCTTGACCGACTTATAATCAAACATCGTTCAACTACATCATTTTATATTATATCTATGACCTATGATGTTGAATGAAGGTGTCCTGTTTCCTATCAGTATGATCATATTTTCTTAATTCAAAAGATGGCTTGATTGAAATCTGTGTAAAATGTTTTGTATTCTTATTTGTGATGCACCGATACCAGTATTGAGCTCATTTACTTGTACTTGTAAAGCACAAGGATCTTTCCGTACCTGTGCAAAAGAACAGCCAAAAAAACCTATCATTTCACACAAAACACCCACAATTCGGGATCCATGGACATCATTTACAATGGACAGGTATTCCAAGTACTCATTTGTTGATGAAATGCCCCTACCAGTGAGTAGATATGCCTTTACATGTCTTTATTTGGTCAATCAGATGAAATAATAACAGATGACGGCTCACAGTACACGGAACAACTCTTCAGGAAATTCTTAGCTAATTGGGGAATAAAACACATCACAAGTTCGCCACACTACCCAAAAAGCCATGGATTTATTGAAAGACATATAAGACACATCAAATCCATCATCAAAAAAACCAACAACAATACAACACAAAGGAGATGTACAAGTGGCTCTGATGCAGATGCGAGCGACACCCATTGACAGTGATTTATCATCCCCAGCAGAATTACTCCTTTGCAGACCAATCACCACACTCCAACCAAGTCATGCAGATCCAGGTCAAACGGAACATAGACAGCACCTGGAAAAGGGATTACAAGGATGAGAACACACTATGATCAATGTAGTGACTTACCACCATTGTTTCGTGGACAGAGTGTAAGAGTGCTGGACAAGGAGAGGAAAACATGGCGACCAGGGGCTTTTGTGGAAAGATGAAAGGAGCCGAGAAGTTACCTGATCCGTAATTTTATTATTTCTTTGATATAAATTTTAAAAAGTCAATTCAATTGTTGTGGTTTGATTCAGATCTTGATTCAATATCGATTCATTTTGATAAATATTAGGTACAGCAGATAATTTTTTTCAATAAAGAAAATCTCATCTAATGCTGTAAAACAGGCAACAGAGAACCCTGTCAGTTGGTATTATTAAATGTTAACAATAACTCAAATTGAATATAATGTAGTTTTTATTATAATAACGACAACTTTATAATATTTTAATGATATATGCAAAATTATAATAAATATGTAGTAGTGCACATATTTAGCAAAATACTAATCTATACTAATACCAAATCTATTATAAAATACAATATCATTAAATGGTCATTAAATGTTTTTTTCTGAGGTAAATGTAACGTTATGTGACATTGTTCTACAGCTGATCCTCTTTCCGCGGTTGAAAAACACTGATTAATCGAGGAATATACATTTCAGTAAGTTGTACTGTATGTTTTAACATAGGCTACCTTATTGTTTGTGTTTACTTATCTAGTAGTAAAGAGAGATTATCGGTTCACGTGCCACTAGGCGCTACAGCGATCTGTCACGTCACATTTAAAAGCACCAAAAAGGTATTTATTGTTAGTCTGGCTAAAGTCAGACCACGTGTCATTGACATTGAGGCATTGTCTGGAAACCACGTTCATTTTCTCGTATTTGAGGCGTGGTTTACGAATGTCTAGAGCCGTTTATTGG